ATGTCTTCTATGAACAATAATAAAGACTTGTGTGTGTGTTGTTAATGCCTTCTCTGAACAATAATAAAGACATGTGTTGTTAATGTCTTCTATGAACAATAATAAAGACTTGTCTGTGTGTTGTTAATGTCTTCTATGAACAATAATAAAGACGTGTGTGTGTGGTTAATGTCTTCTATGAACAATAATAAAGACTTGTCTGTGTGTTGTTAATGTCTTCTCCGAACAATAATAAAGACTTGTGTGTGTGTTGTTAATGTCTTCTATGAACAATAATAAAGACTCGTGTGTGTGTTGTTAATGTCTTCTATGAACAATAATAAAGACTTGTGTGTGTGTTGTTAATGCCTTCTCTGAACAATAATAAAGACATGTGTTGTTAATGTCTTCTATGAACAATAATAAAGACTTGTCTGTGTGTTGTTAATGTCTTCTATGAACAATAATAAAGACGTGTGTGTGTGGTTAATGTCTTCTATGAACAATAATAAAGACTTGTCTGTGTGTTGTTAATGTCTTCTCCGAACAATAATAAAGACTTGTGTGTGTGTTGTTAACGTCTTCTATGAACAATAATAAAGACTTGTCTGTGTGTTGTTAATGTCTTCTATGAACAATAATAAAGACGTGTGTGTGTGGTTAATGTCTTCTATGAACAATAATAAAGACTTACGTGTGTGTTGTTAATGTCTTCTCCGAACAATAATAAAGACTTGTGTGTGTGTTGTTAATGTCTTCTATGAACAATAATAAAGACTCGTGTGTGTGTTGTTAATGTCTTCTCTGAACAATAATAAAGACTTGTGTGTATGTTGTTAATGTCTTCTATGAACAATAATAAAGATGTGTGTGTGTGTGTTGTTAATGTCTGCTATGAACAATAACAAAGACTTGTGTGTGTGTGTGTGTTGTCTCTTCATCAGTAGAATCCTCACCTGGTCCTCTGGAGCTGACGGATCGATGAATGTCACCTTTTTAACAGCCGGTCCGTCCTTCACTCGCGTCCTCGGTCTGAGTTTCGGCCGCTTGGCCTGATGGGAAAAAAAACACATTCAGCAGCTAAACACACCCAACGTTCCCTCAGATGGTTCAGAGAGTCTGCTGACCTGTGAGCCGGAGGGTGAGACAGGGGTGTGTGTGTCCTCCTCCTCTTCCTCCTCTTTGTGCTGCTCTGTGGTCATCCTCTCCGTCTCCTCGGCGGCCGTGATGGAGGATGATGGAGTAAAGTAGGTGGAGCTCCACTTCAGAGTCACTTCAATGAGGCCGGAGGAGAGTCCAGAGGGATCGGTGAGCTCGAAGAGTCCTGAGGGAACAAAGATATAGAAAACAAATACTAATACAAATACGTCCATGAATCAGAATCACAATCAGCTTTATTGGCGCATACATGCAACTCTTTATTAGCATAACTTCCTCATACAGGTTACTGCCACGGAACAGACTACAGGTTCCATGCTTCACCTGCATTCCCCTGGGTCCTAAGTCCCTCCATGTACAGCTTCTTATCACCCTCTATGTACCAACGTACATTTATAACAAATACCACACATATTACGGTAATCAGCGTTGCATATGTGTCTGACCAAAATACCAAAAAAAGCAAAAAATAAATGATTCATTTAAATTATGTTTTTAGAGTTTTGAAGTGTTTTGTTTTTAATATGTATAATAAGCATCATTTAGTATCACTACTGAGAATTTAACAAACATAAAAACATGACGTAGATAGGTTTGCAGTTTTCAAGAAGTATATTTAAATATCATCTCTTACACATGAAGATAAAGTTGTGAACACCGGCTGAATATCTATGATCAGAATCATTATAACTGTGTTATAACTGCTGCTGTGTAAAGGGAATACTGCTGCTAACAACAACCTGATGTGTTTAAAGTGTTTAAACCAAATGTTATTGACCTGTTGTTCAAAAGGTCAATAACATTTGGTTTGTAAACACATCAGGTTCTTGTTAGCAGCAGTATTCCCTTTACACAGCAGCAGTTATAATATTTCTTGTATATTATATATATTTTATGAAATCAACACAACAGAAGAGCAATGTGTGTTGAAATAATATTCCATGATTAATTTATGCCTCAATAATTGAATGGAAACTCGTCCCCAGATTGTTCTGCTTAGTACGTGTTGAAGTCCAGATATGAGGAAACTAAACCCGTCTCGCTGATTCATAACAGTCTGGAGGAGCTCCGTGGATCTCATGGAGCTGTGTTCACTGTCTAGTGAGACACACGTCTCTGTTCACTACAGCTGTATCAACACTAAACTAACTGATTTAACGGCAATAAACCGACAGAAAGGGGATTCTGAAATAACTACGTAATGATGCAGATATTTAAAAAGTCTGAATTCATGTTTAGTTAGTTCTCTCCTCAAGATGACAAGAAAATAACTTCTGGATCGATTGGTGCTATGCTAAGCTAACATTGTAGCAGCTCCATCAGCACTCAACATAACGTCACAAAGGCGTAAATACGGCGTCTATTCATAGTTTGTACTGTCTGGTTTAGTTTGGTCTGGTCTCCACTAACAGGAGGTATCGTGGAGCTCTGGTGATTCAACGTCAGGACGTCAGTGATGACAGGAGGAGCATCTCAACGCTGATAGGCTATCGCGCCGCAGCGCCCGCCCCAAATGCTCTCATTGGTTGAGACACGTGATGACGCCCATCCCAAGCCAGTCCTGATCAACATCCCGCCCCCCCCTGTGACCCATGCTCTGTGTCTGTGTGTTCAGAGCCAGTGAGCAACGGACTTTCAGAATAATAATAATTTTTTTTAAAACTGCGTGAACACACGATAAAATAATTGTCGGCGTTAATTAATTAAAAATAATAATAATAATAACGGGTTAACTTGCCCATCACTAATATTTATATATATAATGTATTTACCTAATAAATACTAACTAAATACAGTTCTGATAAATTGACGCTCTATCGTTGCAGCTTTAATATTTTATATATTTATTATATTGTATATTTATTAATTAATATTCATATCGTCTCCATGTTAATGAAAACAGAGACATGATGTCAGACTCACCTGTGATCTCCTGGTCCTGGACCAGAGGCAGCAGATGGACCCGGGTCTTCCCCAGGTACGTGTCCATCTTCTCCTCTTTGTAGTCGAACACGTAGAGCACCAGGTCCTCAGACCTCAGGTACCGGTCCAGGTCCTGGTCCACGTGGACCGGGTAAGACTTGAGGTCACCGAGGTCCGGGTCACAGCGTTCGTGCACGGTGGCGGTCGGGTAGTCGGGGAAGTCATAGAACTTGTAGACCACGTAGGGACTCGGACACCCGGACCCGCCGGACCTCTTTAGGTCTCTGCAGCGGTGGACCGTGATGAAGAGCTTGTTCAGGGAGCCTTCAGGTACCTGTGAATCCTGGTTCAGGGAGCCTTCAGGTACCTGTGAGTCCTGGTTCAGGGTGGCACCGACGTGACCCGACACCTTTACCTTCTCTCTGTAGAGACGGAACGTCTCCGTCATTGGGACCTTCAACCTCAACCAGTAGTCCACAGAACCAAAGGACTGGGTCTCCTCAGACACACCTGGTGAACAAGTAACATCTAGTCACATATAAACTATATAGAGCTAAAGGAACGAGCCTTATCTGGTCTGTGATCCGGTCTCTGATCTGTGTCTCTGGTCTCTGATCTCTGGTCTCTGATCTCTGGTCTCTGATCTCTGGTCTGGTCTCTGATCTCTGGTCCGGTCTCTGGTCCAGTCTCTGGTCCGGTCTCAGTTATCTGATCTGGTCTCACTCACCGACCAGCGGCGCGGTGCCCTGAACTTTCCCGTCTCGCTCCATCAGCTGGTGCAGGTGGATCCGACCTGTGGCCACAGTCCTCCAGTCCAGACCCTGAGCCTGGTGCAGCTCCAGGTTCACCGATCCTCCAAGCAGGAAGTCCAGCAGCCGCTGGTCCACCGTGACCACGTACCGAGACGTGAACCCGAACCGCGGCGTGCGGCCCACAGACACCGGAGTGGAGTGAAGCTCGAACAGGTAGAAGGAGTAGGTGATGAAGGTGGAGGGCTCAGAGTCCCCCAGAGACCTCAACCCAGACGGAGACAACGTGGCTCCGACCACCTGGAGCTCCACCAGGTTCTCCTCTCGGTCCAGAGGAGGAGAATCCTCTTCATCATCCTCCTCATCCTCGTCGTCTTCAGCTGGGACATCCCGTCTGAACACGGAGGTTCTGGTGCCGTAAGACACGCCTCTGAGCTGAGCTAAGGAGGAGGAGGAGAAGAAGGTGAAGGTGAAGGAGGAGCAGGAAGAGGTGAAGGAGGAGGAGGAGGAGGAGGAACAAAGATCAAACAAAGTCTCACTTCACAGTTCATCTTCAAACCTTGAATCAACGTTTTTATAAATAATAATGATTTATCTTCTTATATTTATCTTCATATTTCTACTTGTGTCTTTAAACATGTTTAATGAGCTTTAGATCAAATGACATCAACAGGTTTCATGTTTAGGACAGTTTATAGTCAGAGGTAAACTCCTCCTCTACTGTACATGTTCAGCACCAGCTGTGAGGGTGAACACAAAGACAGGAACACATGTTCAGCACCAGCTGTGAGGGTGAACACAAAGACAGGAACACATGTTCAGCACCAGCTGTGAGGGTGAACACATAAAGACAGGAACACATGTTCAGCACCAGCTGTGAGGATGAACACATGAAGACACTAACCCTCCAGTCTCTGGATCTTAGCGGCTCTAGAGTCCAGCAGAGCGGCCTGATGCTGCAGCTTCTGATCCCACGTCGCTCTGTTAGTCTCCATCTGGTTCAGGACGGCCTCCAGCTCCACCTGGATTATTTAAAAAAAAATATACACACATATATACACACATATATATACAAACATATATATACACACACACACACATATATATACACACACACACACATATATATACACACACACACACATATATACACACATATATACATATATACATATACATATATACACATATACATATATACACATATACATATATACACATATACATATA